TTAAAAAATTTAAATATTAAAAAAATTAGTAAAAATCTTCACAGGCAAATTTGCCTGTATTACAATTTAAGGGATAGAAATTCAAATTCTCATGAAAATGGTCAGTGACCTGAAATCAGGGTCATGTGACCACGTATTTAATATGTACGTATATATGAATTTAAAAAAAATTAATTAATTAATTAAAAATAGATATCTATTAATAAAATTAGCGTAATGTTATGAATTAGTGTAATATAACATATCAAAATTAGTATAATGTATTGAAATTCATATAATCTACAAATATGTTTTGTATCAAATCTTTAACAAAAATATTTTTTAATCTTTTTTATTAATAAAAAAAATAAAAAACTCAATTTTGTTAAATTTTTTATACTAATTTTTTGCTAAATTAATAAATTATTATGTTATAGATTTTAGAACAATAATAAATAAATTAAATAATAGTAAGTTTAATAGAAATTTTAAGAAAATAATATAAATTAATATAAATTAATATTAAATTTATTAAAACATTTAAAATTTAAAAAGAAGGTAAAAAATTTACAATTAAAGCAAAAATTTTAAAAATTTATTTTATTTATTTAATAAATATTTTGTTTTATTTATAAATTATACAAATAATTAATAATTTTATTATAATTTATTTTTTTTTATTGGAATGGAAAATGCCAAAAGAAAAGAAAGAAAAGAAAAAGAAAAAAGAAAAAAGACCTACACCTGATTATATTATAAGAGAATATGCAGCACCTAAAAATGAATCTGGAAAAGATAGAGAAAATATATTAAAAAAGTAAAGACAAGCTAAATATAGACATTACCAAAAAGAACAAGATATTGCAGAACCTTCAACAAGAACAAGATCCCAAACTTCTAAAACTTCATCAGATACAAAAGAAAAAACAAGAATAAGACAACAAGAATATAGAGCTTCTTTGAGTGAAGCAAAAAAGAAAAAGAGATAGAGAAAAATATAAAGAAGCATATAAAAAGAAAAAACAAGAACAATTTAAACAATTTTATAAAATAGGACATTGCAGTTTAGATGATTATCAGAAGGAGGTTGAGGATGATAGTGGGGATGATGGTGAGGATGATGATAGAGATGATGATGAAGATAATAATGGGAATGATAATGGAGATGATGGTGGGGATAATAGTGAAGATAATAATAATGATGATGATAATAGAGATGATAAAAAGAACAATGTAGGCATAGTGTAGAAAAAATGGACATTGAATGTAAACATTGTGGGGTATTAAGATTGAAGAGAGAAAAACCAGAACTTTGTTGCATGAATGGTGAAGTTATATTAGCACCACTTCAAGCACCACCACCAGAAATTTATTATTTGCTTATAGCAAAAGATCCAATATCTAAAGTACTATTTGTTAATAAAATAAGAGCATATAATCAAGTATTTGCTTTACATCAATTGCTACTGATTTAGATTTGGATTTTGCTAGTGAAAAAAAGAGGGCCTATTGCTATAGAATTCAGGGTGATCATTATCATCAAATTAGCTCAGCTTTACCAAAACAAGGAGAAATGCCAAAATATATTTTCATGATTCTTCAGATATTGAAGCACAAATTGATAGAAGACATGATATAATGAAGCAATCAATTATTAAACAGGGATATGATAAATATTATTCAAAATGTATTAATGGATTTAAATCCTTTTGTAGATACTTATATATCTGCAGGAAATGAGGATCTACAAGATTCTCTATATTATATTTTAATACATAATAAGTATGGTAAAGATATAAGACAATATAATACACTATTGGCTAAGGAAGTAGCTACAATTTGTTTTTTTAATAAAACTATGCATGTAAGAGATATTCTTATTGTAAAACATAATAACAAATTAGAAAGAATATCTTAATTACATGATGCATATTATCCTTTAGCATATCCTTTACTATTTCTACGCGGAAAATATGGTTGGCATAAAGGAATATTAAAAAGGAATGAAATTGAATCAGATAATGATGATTATAATGAACCAGATTATTTGTACTGAACTAAACAAAAAATGAAGGCCTATGCAAAAGAAATTGAAGAAGAAAAAAAAGAAAAAAGAGCTCTTAAAAAAAAGATGGCTCAACACTCTGAAGCCTCTAAAACTTCTAAAGCTGAAGCTGGAGCAAGTGATATCTCTAATATTAACTTTGATACTTTATTAGAAAGAGAATCACAAAGTAAAACAGGATTAACAAGTGTTTTAGAATCTGCAACTATTAGAAGTTCATCAATTATAATGAGTCTTGATGATGAAAATATTAATGCAGATAATAGAGAATATTTGGAAAATAGATCTTTTGTAAAGAAAAGAAAAAAAAGAGCTAGAGAAAAAATAGAAGAAGTTCAAGCTCAAGCAAAAGATGATTGATTGTATTTCTATATAAGACATTTACTAAAATCAGCCAATGAAAATTCAAGGATCAACAACCAATCAGATGGATTTTTAATCATGCTCTATAGATACATTTTATAATAAATGTTTTTAAAAATATAGTATTAAATAATTTAACTAAAAGACAAGTTAAAAATAAATTTAAAAAAATTAAACCTATTATAAATAAATAAGTTACTTTATATTTCTAGTAGCAATTATTATTACTTTTAGAAATTTTAGAATTAGAATGTAATTTTAAAGAGTTTTTTATAAATAAAATAAAATTAGATATAAAATTTCTCGTAGATCCTCGTACTAATTTTTGAGCTAAAGAAAATATACAAAAACAACAACAAGTCCACTAGCTAGCAAGGTTCCAAGGCTTAAGCAAAAA